TGCGAAGAAGGCGCTCCATGATTCATGGGAAACAACATGCGTATTGGCCACGAAGCATCATCCAACGTGAATGGACCACTGTGCCAGCACCGATGCACACATGGGACTTGGCTTTCGGCCAAGAAGCTCCGACCCACACCCCAGCGCCCGAAGGACACAGGGGCGTCTAGTAGCGACCTCCACGTCGGAAGGCATGGATGGGGCTATATTCACCTGGCTTCCGCCGCTGCCGCCGCCTCGGCCACTGATAAAATTGAAGACATCGTCAGGAAGTGCAGAGCCCAAGGTAAGGCTGGTCGCCACAACCTGGAAAAGACTTCTTGTGGTACCTGGCCAGCCCGCGCGGCTGCCGCAAACCCAAAGAATGCCGCCTGGGACCGTCTTCGTAGTAGGCGGAGACGTGGCGCCAAATTTCTCGCGGTTCCAATCTGGCGCAGGTGGTCGCTCCCCACCCTCGGGGCTGCCCGAAAAGCTGAACGGCCATGGGTATTTTCCAAAGGCTTGCGTGTTCCGTCTCCTACTGCTCCTCTGCCTCCTCCACTTCAGCGACCCGTCTTTGCATCCTCCGCATCATCATACCACGCCCTCTCCCTCCCCCCCTCCTCCTCCTCCTCCTCCTCATCATCAGCATCATCAGCAGCATCATGACCACCATCATCATCATCTTCAACAAGATGCCGGTCCTCTTAAAGACAGACGCGCACCAAAGCGTCGCGTGTGTCCTTTGGCGCCAGGCTCACGTACCCCACCCAACGTGGTCCGCACCCCCATCGCAGACACTGCACACAATTACCACTTCGGAAGCCATGTTTACACACAACTTCCGGAGTGCCGGGGCCCGCCGATCATCAGACGCCCCGTTGGGCCGCGACCAGCGGAAGCAGACACCAGCGCTGCCCCGATGGGCCGCGATCAACTGCGATGTGCTGATCATCGGAAGCCCCGCCCGCTGCGCCGTCACCAGCAACGGCAGCGACCAATGCTGCCCAGCAGGGCAGCGATCCATCTGCCAGCAGGGGCCAACGCTTCCTCGAAGGGCCGCGATTCATATGCAGTGCAAGGGGCACTGGGCCGACTCGCCTGCGGCGAAGGGTGGGCGCCACTGGAGCGCACTGAGCCTCTGGGGCCAACGCGGCCCACCAGGGCCAGTCTCTGAGACCCAACGATACACTCCAAACATCCACTTTGTCTGGAAAGCCGCACACTCGCCAGCTGGAATCGATGCAGGACCCCGCGTAGGATGCAAAAACCACGCTTCGTAGTCGTACCACCACCAATCTCGAAGTCAGGGTCTTCCGTGTCGCCACCAGCGGTCACCATGCCTTTGGAGGAAGCAGGATGCGCATACCTGCACTCCAGATTATTCCACTTCCCATCGCGCACCAGGACCGAGATGAACCATGCACGCGCTCCGCAAGCTGCCTGAAGGAGAGAACGACGTCGCGTGTTTCGATGTCATCCAGTTCGGCCTGCATGTCCTTGCCAGACCACTTCGTCATATGCTAGAGGAACAGCGTGACGTACTGGTCCTTGTCGTGGGGAACTTTGTCGTTCGTGTCCTTTTCCTGATTGGCGAACTTCGTGGGGGTCTTCCACATCATGTCAATCAAGAGGTTCATGAACATCTTTACATTGGTCTTGCACTCCTTCTTCTCCCAAAACCTCTGAGCCAGCAGCGCCCCATGAAGTCGGCTCTGCTCGGCGGTGGACAGGACAGCCAAATCCCGCTCGAACTCGGACACGATCTGCCCACCACCAAGCGCCAACCGGGCATCGTCGTCCAGCATCCGCGCGCTCGCGTCAGCCTCGCTTTGCGGCTCGATGCGGCTCTGGACAACCACGGTGAAATTGGCCCAGGCCTGGCGATCCCATCCGGTAAGCGCCGCCTGGGTCGCGGCCGCGGCCTCATCCAAATCCTCCCTGTAGCGCTCGAGCACATCCATCCTGCAACGCCATTTGGACAGGTCGCCGCGCACAGGAGGCAATAGATCTGCTCGAGAACACATCTCGTGCCCGTTGTGTGGCAGGCCTGACAATACGTAATCGCCGTTGGTGCTGTCCTGCCGGCTGTGGGACCAGATGAGAGGAAGTTAAGGCATAGCTAATTGAACGCGCTTGCGCACTTGCCCCCAACGACCCTGACAGACTCGGCTTTTCAACTTGGCGATTTCCTCTTCCTGCGGAGACGGATCCTCCCTATCCGAGAAGGTTGAATGGTTGTTCGGTGGGTCGGTGATCCGAGTACTGAGGCTACGGCAATTCGGGGCATGTGGTTACTGAACGCTCGTTTTGCACCCACTCTGTGAGTTTCTCTGACTGCGAGAACGTAGTCCAGAGATTCAACTCCCAGATTGCCAAGATTTCCCAGCAGCGTAGTTCTAAAAAAGCAGTACGGCGGTGCCTTGTTGAATATGAGCTATTCCTTTAAATTCCAATGTTCGGAAGGTCAATGCGCACGCCTCAGGCGAAGGAGGCATTGAAGGCCTCGAGGCTTTCTATAAGCTAGGCAATGACGAATGCAGCTACGAAGGAACGTCATCTACACCCCAAGCCGTCACATGCCAAGCTTGACAGGATCAAGGATCCAATGGCCATCTCGCGTGCTATTATTCGACTTTTCTGCCAAATTGCTCCCAGCCTGCCCTCGTTGGAACCTACACTGGGCCCCGCGAGCGGCTGGGCGGGGGAGGCAAGTCAACCCTCGCAGTCCAAATAAGGACTGGTCTTTTAGCCGCAGTGTTTGAAGGTGCCGCGTGCGCTTTGCTACGAGCAGGAGGGAGCAGAAGTCCTCTTGCAGTGGATGTCGAGGTTCCCCACCAGGCGCACTAGTCCTGGAGGTTGATTTGCAGGGTGAGCACCCCCAACTTTCAACTGTCCAGGTCGAGCCAGGTGTCACCCTGGTGGAGAAAACTCTTGAGACTCTCTTGCGGCTGTCTTCAGGCTGTCTTGTGAAATCTCGGGCGGCTCTTGGGCCGTCTTGGGGCCAACTTGGGTCGTCTTGGGGCTCTCTTGGAAGCCGTTGAGGCTGTCGTGGGCCGGTTCTGGGGCCTCCTGGGCTGTCTTCAACGACGCGAGAGCCGAAGAGACGTAGACACTAAAATTGCACGTGTTCCACAAAGAATGGGACACTGTTGACCAGGGCGTTCTCGGGGATGATCTCGGAGGCCTCGTGGGAGTCTTGGAGGCAGCCAGAATGGTGCCGCCTTTCCGGCCTGGAGCGCGCCTGGCAGCGATTTGGGGGCGGCATGGAAGCACCACCTAACCAACCTGACCCTCAAGACCCTCCTCATCTTCTTCGCCATCCTCCTTCTCAGACAGGCCACCATCATCATCAGCATCAGCATCAGCATGAGCATCAGCATCAGTATCAGCATCAGAATGATGATCATCATCATCATCATCATCATCATCATCATCATCATCATCATCATCATCATCATCATCATCATCATCATCATCATCATGATCATCATCATCATCATCATCAACAACATCAGCATCAGCATCAGCATCATCATCATCATCATCATCCTCAGTATCATCATCATCATCAGCAGCAGCATCATCATCATCAGCAGCAGCAGAATCAGAATCAGCATCAACAGCAGCAGCATCAGCATCAGCATCATCATCATCAGAAGCATCAGCAGCAGCATCATTATCAACATAGCCATCATCGTCATCAGCAACATCATCAGCATCATCATCAGCATCATCAGCATCCTAAGCATCATCAGAATCATGATCATCATAAGCATGATCAGCATAATCAGAATCAGCATCATCAGCATCATCCTCATCAGCAGCCCTCAGCAACATCATCAGCACCAATATCATCATCATCATCACCACCATCATCATCATCAGCATCATCAGCATCATCAGCATCCTCCACATCATCATCAGCATCATCAGCATCAGCACCTGCATCATCATCAGCAGCAGCATCAGCAGCAGCATCATCAGCACCAGAATCAGCATCAGCATCGTCATCATCATCCTCATCATCAGCATCATCAGCAGAATCAGCATCATCATCAGCATCATCATAAGCCGCATCATCATCAGCAGCACCATCATAATCCTCATCACCATCATCATCATCATCATCATCATCATCATCATCATCATCATCATCATGATCATCATGATCATCATCATCATCATCATCATCATCAGCATCATCATCATCATCGCCATTAACATCATCATCATCATCATCATCATCATCATCATCATCATCATCATCATCATCATCATCATCATCATCATCCTTATCATCATCAACAACATCATCGTCATCACCCGTGTCAACAACATCATCAGCAGCATCATAATCAGCAGCATCAGCAGCATAAGCATCATAATCAGCATCGTCATGAGCATCGTCATCATCATCACCATCATCATCATCTCACTCAGCATCAGTATAATAATCATTATCAGCATCCTCATCAGCATCATCATCACCGCAAACATCAGCATCAACATCATCATCATCATCAACATCATTATCAGCATCAGTATCATCATTCGCATCATCAGCATCCGCATCATAAGCATCATCAGCAGCAGCAACATCAGTGTCCTCATCGTCATCACCAGAATCATCAGCACCAGCTGAATCATCATTATCATAACCAGCAGCATCATCCTCTGTTTCCTCCATATCCTCTGACACATCCACATCATCTTCCATCATCCACCTCCTCATCCTCCTGGACGCACCTTCCCCTCATCACCCTGTTCCCCATTATTGCTCATACATATCCTTACTCATCGTCACTCCTACTCCTCCCTCTCCTTCTACTCCATGCGTCCCCCGAATGCCTCTGGAAACCCGGAAGCCTGCTGGAATCGCTCAGAACTGCCACAAAACATCCGAAAACTGTCCCATCCCTCCCATGCTCGCCGTTGTCCTCATCACTAGCACCATTACCGTTATCATGATTCATCCCTCCCTCTCCTTCCCTCGCGTCCTTCCTCCTCCCAGGCGAGGCCTAAGCACACGGTCATGTAGATCCACATCATTGCCTCCTTCCGCTTGATGTGACCGAGACTGTAGTCGCCCTCCGCTAGGGGGCCGTCTTCCTCCTCCTCCTCCTCCTCCTCATCATCATCATCATCATCCTGATCCTCCTCCTCCTCATCCTCGACATCCAGCTTCTCCTCCTCCTCCTCATCATCCTCACCCTCCAGCTCCTCCTCCTGTTCCTCCTCCTCGCGAAGCTCAAGCATCACTATTGCTCTCCTTCACCCCTCTCCTCCACCTCTTCCTCCTGAGGGGCTCGACAGACCGCTCGCCAGGTGGCCAACGGGCATGTTGACGATAACGATGAGGATGAGAAACTTAACACGATTGTCCGCGGCACTCACGAGGAACGATGTCTGAGATAAACGGCTGCAAGCGCGCAGGGTGGAAACAGAGAGGAGGGAGCACTGCAGCAGCTCAGGACGCCGCTCTCTCATTCAGCCTGCTCTGGGAACCAAAGGGGAGTGAGGCCACGCCCGAGGAGGCGGAGGGAGGTAGGGAGGGAGTGGGGGAGCGGAGGAGACGGAGGGCGGGTGCCCAGCAGCGTGAGCTCGCGTCGGTTGGGGTGCCGGGAGAGTGCCCCCCCCGAACCCAGATTTAGGTCGGGCCTGTCACCCTACAGGGGGGTTTTGGAAGAAAATTTGAATTAGTCAAAGAATGCCCCCAAATGGTCGAAAAATACACGAAAAATCGTCCCCTTACTGTTTTTTACTATTTTGGAATATTCCTCCTGTAGAGGGACAGGCCAGACCTAAACCCAGATCCCTCCCCCCTCCCCCGGCTCTAAAAAGAACAGGAGCGGCACGAACAGGAGAGGCGGGAGGCGCACGCTGGCGCTGGGACCCCCGTTCCCAAACTCCGGCGCGCAGAGCGAGCCAGGGGGCGGCGCCGGAGGCGCGGCCAGTGGTGCGGGCCCGAATTCCTCAGCCGACCCAAGAGATTCGCGCGGCTCTCCAAAAAGTCTGCGTCTGCCGGTTTCTGTGCTCAGGCCTCAGGTCGCCCTCCCCCCCGCAGGTCCACCCCAGGGCGCACCCTCGCGTTCGCGGAGGAGACCTCGGCGGACTTCACCAGCGCGCAGATCCCTGGCCGACCCCCAGGGGAGCGCCTGCCGTCGTCGTCGTCGCTCTTGGCGAGACGCGGAAGAACAATGACCACTCCAGTGTAGCAAGGCAGCAGAAGGCAGCCTGCAAGCCCCAGTACAAGGGAGGAGGGGGAGGGGTAGGAGGAGGAGGGGGAGGAGGAGGAGGAGGAGGAGCAGGAGGAGCAGGAGGAGGAGGAGGAGGAGGAGAGGCCAGGAGAGGGAGGGGTAAGAGGGCCAGGAGTGGGAGGTGAAGAGCAGAAGGGCAGGAGAGAAAGGAGAGGAGCAGCAGGGAAAGGAGGAGGAGGAGGGAAGAGAGGAGTGGAGGGGGATTGGACACGGCTCCCACTCTGTGCACACGTGTTTTGCTCCCTCTGAGGTTACGCGTTTGCCTTTGGCTCCCGTGGGCCCGACTCGGGCGGTAGTCACGATGCGCGCGAACGGCCCAAGATGCGGAACGGTCTGTGGATTCACTGGCTGGGTGCATCGGCGGCCAGATCCAGCACATAGACGAGACCACGCGGAGGACAGCCGCTGTTGGAACAGAACTGCAAGTCCAGAGGGAAAATGACAGAAGCGCCGCCGCGCGCTGCGCCGCCGTCTGGATGGCGACGCACTCGCCGAAAGCAATGGGCGCCGCCGTGCGCGATGCGATTGGGGGCCCTCGGGGTCGGCTCGAGAGCCAGGGCACAGAGTCACTCGAGAGCCTGGACTTCGCGCATGGTTTTCGCACACTCGCCTGGCTCGCATCCTCGGAAACGTCCACGGCGGGCCCAGAGCCGCAGAGATTCCCGAGACCGCCACAGGAGGGCTGACCGAGCACGATGCCCTTCAGATAAGTGCCGCGGGCCAGGCCGGAGACCGTGCGAGGACCGGCGCGGTGGCCATAGTCGCGACTCGTCCAGCGGGTCGTGAGGCCGCTGGCGCCACGAGGCTGGCATGGAGGAGAGGGGGTCCTGGTGGCGATCGGCTGCACGCAAGAGAGACCCTGGGCAATGGTGACCTTTGGCGAACGGGGGGGGGGGGGGGGGGGGGGGGGGGGGGCCCCCCAAGCGCGCAATCCGATGCTAACGCATCCACTTCAGCGATCAGGGGACCCCAGTGGGCCCACGCCAAAGGCCACTTCGGCGAAGGGTCACTCCTACGCGTAGCCGAGGAGACAGGTCCTGCGCCCTCGGGCCTTCCGCCAGGAATAGCTCCTCATGCTCAGCCGATCTTGGACGGCCCTGGGGCCCAGGGAGGGCCCCGCGGAGGCCGAAGGCGGCGAGAAAGCAGGCCCGGCGTCCTCCAAGCAGGGCGAGCAACGCGGCGCGCAGCACCGTCCTCCAAGAGCCCTCTCTCTTCAAGGCGACTAGCGCGGCGCGCAGCACCGCGCGAGCCGAGCTGGAGGCGCGGAGCACGGCCACTTCCACGGGGCCAGGACCGTCGGGCGCCACGCGGCAAGGCACACACGGCCTGCCCGGGCGTTGCCAGGCCGTCGGGGGGCGGAGGCCGGGACAAAATCGGACTGGCCTGATCTCTAAGATCCGGGAGCTCTTGAGGATACAACGGGCGCGCCGGCCGCTCCAGAACGCTCCAGAACGCTCTGGAGCGCTGCGGAACGATGTATCCTGGCCCTGGGCCCGCCCGACTGCTGGCGAGCGGGCAAAGTTGGCGGCTGAACGCTGGCGGAGAGAGGAGAGGCTCCAGACCGGCGACTCCAAAGAAGCGCGGCGCGACAGAGCAGGCGCTGTGCGTTGGGCCACCAGCAGCAGGATCGAAAGGCGGAGGCTAAACGCGCCAGAACAGTAGTTCCCAGACGTCCCACCTCTTGGTGCTTCAAGACAGGGTCCCCGTCCCAATCCTTTCCCCAGGCTGGCTGTTCATCGCGTTGTTCGACGGTCCCAAAGCCCGAGAACGGCCCCAAGCCGAGAACCACGAAAAGCTTCCGTCTCCACGTTTTCAAGACGATGGATATCTGAGTTCGAACTCCCTCCCACATACCTCGAAGGAACGCGGCTGACATCGGGGATGGCAAAAATGTAGCAGTACAAGTCGCACCTCTCATCCTATGGGCTTATGCCTTGGGCTACGGCGTGTCTTCACTGCTGTTGCTGAGGCTAGGAACGCTAAACGCCCCCTGGAGGCGTCTGGGGGCCTGGTCATTCAGCGTTGAGGCATCAGTAAGGGCAGCAGGAGAAGGAGAGTGCTGAGGAGGACGAGGGTGAGAACCTGGCGGATGGAGGAAAGAGGAGGAGGCGGAGGAAGAGGCGGAAGACGAGAAAGGGAAAGGAGGTGGGCAGGTGAAGGGAAGAGGAAGTGGAGGAGGGAGAAGAAAAAGTGGAAGGGAACGAAGAGAAAGAACGGAGCATCAATTGAAAATATCTGTCAGCGAGGCAACGACTTGAAACTTGTCTATCTCACTGGGCAAATAATCAGAAACCGATCGACGAAGGCTGTGGATGGGGCTGCCGAACGAAGACTCGCGGGGGAACGAGAAGATGCTCCTAGACGGAGACGTACGTCTCAGGCCGGCTAGAATCTGCATACCCCAGTGCGGCATATCCCTCCTCCCCTTCCACCTCCCCCTCCTCCCCCCTCCCCAGGAAAGTCTCTGGAGATCCACCCCTCCGAAAAATCGCAGTGGCCCTTTTTGTGGTCCGAATTTCGACAGTTGGCCGACGCGGAAAAGGGGGGCGCGTCGGGCTTGGGATTGGACCATCTGATTGAATCATCCGCGAAGTTTCGAGTCTCACGTCGATTGGCGAAATGACTGGATTGCAAAGATATAACTGTATCTACATATATATTTATATATACACACATATACAACAAAAAACCTCGATCCTGGATCGCCCCTGATAAGCATGCTTGGCTGCTTGGCCTCGTCACCTTCGCCAGTACTATGAAATACAACGGGAGAGATTCTCCTCTGTAGCACTCTGCTCCAGCTTGCACAAAAACTGAAAAACCCACCCTCGTTCTCGTTGCGCCTCGGCCTCCCGTCCTTCCCCTACTCCCCCTCTCGACCCTCCCTCTGGATGGAGCCGGATCGCCACTGGCAGCGCCCCGGATCGGATCCCAGGGACGGTTGCTGACTGATGACGCTGCCGCTCGTCAGGTCGTCCCCACAAGGCGAAGGTCAACCCCCAGACCCCATTCGGCGGTGGACAAACCTCCCTTTAGTAGACCTCCCCTTAGTGAAAACGGCCTGGGGCCGAAATCGACGGACCTAGACCCGCAAAAATGACGGCCGCGACGCCCTCTCGCGAACCGAAAACGGCCAATTCCTTAATCGACGTGTCAGGGTGGGAGGTCTGTCCAACCCCGACCCATCTGCGGGTCAATCCTGGCAAATACTCGGGCTGCGTTCAGCCGCGGCGACGGCGGCGACGAGGACGCATCGACCCCTGGACTTTTCCCGGGGCGCGTCCTGGCCAGGACTGCAGGGGGAATCCAGCAGTGGCCACGAGAAGACCCCCGGAGGGCCCCACAAAAAAAAAAAAAAAAAAAAAACGGCCCCCGACGCTCGAACCTCGATCGAACAATAACGACGACGACGACGACGACGACGACGACGACGACGACGATGACGTCTTAGGCCCGCCGCCCGCCACCCCCCCCCGCGCCCACGAGCGGGCAGCAACACAGGCACGCCAGGACGGCCAGGCACATCGGGGAGTCGGCGCGCTCGTCGAAAGCTGGCGACCGCCGCGAGGAGGATGACGACGACAGGGGGAAGAGAACGATGATGGTGGTGGTGATGACGATGATCGGGACCGAGCTCAGATCGAGCGCTGCGGACAATGAGTTTGAATATGAAGACGAAGCTGAAAATGACGGTGCAGATGACGGCGAAGATACCTATGAAAAGGGGATAATGAAGACGACGATGAAGATGAAAATTATAATACTGGCGAAGATGACGATGTATATGAAGACGACATGAAGATGAACATGAAGATAGAGATGGCGATAGAGATGGAGGCGAAAACGAAGATAAAGATGAAGATGGACATGATTGTGAAGATGTGGCTGAAAACGAAGTTAAAGACGAAGATGAATATGAAGCTGCAAAATGGAGATGATTATTCGGGTTGAGATTTTGAGATGGGAAATAAGATAACTAAACATATGAAGATGACGCCGCAGCTGAAGATGGCGATGAAGACGGGGATGAAGATGAAGACGGCAATTGAGATGAACGCGAATGTAAAGATGGCGATGCGGAGGCAGACGAAGATGGATGAAGATGAAAGACGATGCCATCATTAGAGTTTCTCGTTCATGTGGATATCCCCCGGCACGAACACAAGCGCGAAATCTCGCGCACCTAGACACTGGGCCGTGGGCGGCCAAAAAAAACTAGACCTCCGCGCCCCATCCCAACTCTCTGGTCCCAACTGCCTGGTCCCAACTCCTGGTCCCAATTCTCTGGTCCCAACTCCTGGTCCCAACTCCTGGCCCAAACTCTCTGGCCCCAGCTCCAGGTCCCAACTCCTGGCCTCAACTTTATGGCCCCTACTCTCTGGTCCCAACTCTCCGGTCCCAACCCATGGTCCCAAGTTGGCAACTCCTGGTCCCAACTCTCCGGCCCCAATTCCCCGGCCCCAACTCTCCGGCCCCAACTCCTGGTCCCACGTTGGCAACTCCTGATGCCAACTCTCCGGCCCCAACTCCTGGCCCCCAACTCTCTAGTCCCAACTCCTGGTCCCAACTCCTGATCTCAAGTTGGCAACGCATGGTCCCAACTCTGGTCCCAACTCCTTGGTCCCAACTCCTGGTCCCAACTCTCTGGTCCCAACTCTGGTCCCAACTCCTGGTCCCAACTCCTGATCCCAACTGCCTGGTCCCAACTCCTGGTCCCAACTCCTGGCCCCAGTTCCAGTCCCAACTCCTGGCCCCAACTCTCCAGTCCCAACTGCCTGGTCCCAACTCTCTGGTCCCAACTCTCCAGCCCCAACTGCCTGGTCCCAACTGCCTGGTCCTGGTCCCAACTCTGGTCCCAACTCTCTGGTCCCAACTCTCTGGCCCCAACTCCTGGCCCCAACTGCCTGGTCCTGGTCCCAACTCTCTGGTCCCAACTCTCTGGTCCCAACTCTCTGGTCCCAACTGCCTGGTCCTGGTCCCAACTCTGGCCCCAACTCTCTGGTCCCAACTCTCTGGTCCCAACTCCTGGCCCCAACTGCTTGGTCCTGGCCCCAACTCTGGCCCCACCTCTCCTTCCCCAACTCTCCGGCCCCAACTGCCTGGTCCTGGTCCCAACTCTGGTCCCAACTCTCTGGTCCCAACTGCCTGGTCCCAACTCTCTGGTCCCAACTCTCTGGTCCCAACTCCTGGTCCAAACTCCTGGCCCAAACTCTCTGGCCCCAACTCCTGGCCCCCAACTCTCCGGTCCCAACTCCTGGTCCCAACTCCTGATCTCAAGTTGGCAACGCATGGTCCCAACTCTGGTCCCAACTCCTTGGTCCCAACTCCTGGTCCCAACTCCTGCCCCCAACTCTCTGGTCCAAACTCTGGCCCCAACTCCTGGTCCCAACTCCTGGTCCCAACTGCCTGGTCCCAACTCCTGGTCCCAACTGCCTGGTCCCAACTCTCCAGTCCCAACTGCCTGGTCCCAACTGCCTGGTCCTGGTCCCAACTCTGGTCCCAACTCTCTGGTCCCAACTCTCTGGCCCCAACTCCTGGTCCCAACTGCCTGGTCCTGGCCCCAACTCTGGTCCCAACTCTCTGGTCCCAACTCTCCGGTCCCAACTGCCTGGTCCCGGTCCCAACTCTTGCCCCAACTCTCTGGTCCCAACTGCCTGGTCCCAACTCCTGGTCCCAACTCTCTGGTCCCGACTCCTGGCCCCAACTGCTTGGTCCTGGCCCCAACTCTAGCCCCAACTCTCTGGCCCCAACTCTCCGGCCCAAACTGCCTGGTCCTGGTCCCAACTCTGGCCCCAACTCTCTGGTCCCAACTGCCTGGTCCCAACACCTGGTCCCAACTCTCTGGTCCCAACTCCTGGTCCCAACTCCTGGTCCCAACTCTCTGGCCCCAGCTCCAGGTCCCAACTCCTGGCCTCAACTTCATGGTCCCAACTCTCTGGTCCCAACTCTCCGGCCCCAACCCCTGGTCACAGGTTGGCAACTCTTGGTCCCAACTCCCCGGTCCCAATTCCCCGGTCACAACTCTCTGGCCCCACCTCCTGGTCCCACGTTGGCAACTCCTGGCCCCAACTCTCCGGTCCCAACTCCTGGCCCCCAACCCTCAGGCCCCAACTCCTGGTCCCAACTCCTGATCTCAAGTTGGCAACGCATGGTCCCAACTCTGGTCCCAACTCCTTGGTCCCAACTCCTGCTCCCAACTCTCTGACCCCAACTCTGGTCCCAACTCCTGGTCCCAACTCCTGGTCCCAACTGCCTGGCCCCAACTCATGGTCCCAACTCCTGGTCCCAGTTCCAGTCCCAACTCCTGGTCCAAACTCTCCAGCCCCAACTGCCTGGCCCCAACTCTCTGGTCCCAACTCTCCAGCCCCAACCGCCTGGTCCCAACTGCCTGGTCCTGGCCCCAACTCTGGTCCCAACTCTCTGGTCCCAACTCTCTGGTCCCAACTCTCTGGTCCCAACTCCTGGTCCCAACGGCCTGGTCCCAACGGCCTGGTCCTGGTCCCAACTCTCTGGTCCCAACTCTCTGGTCCCAACTCTCTGGTCCTGGTCCCAACTCTGGTCCCAACTCTCTGGGCCCAACTCTCCAGTCCCAACTGCCTGGTCCTGGTCCCAACTCTGGCCCCAACTCTCTGGTCCCAACTGCCTGGTCCCAATTCCTGGTCCCAACTCTCTGGTTCCAACTCTTGGTCCCAACTCCTGGTCCCAACTCTCTGGCCCCAACTCCTGGTCCCAACTCTCCAGTCCCAACTGCCTGGTCCTGGTCCCAACTCTGGTCCCAACTCTCTGGTCCCAACTGCCTGGTCCCAACTCCTGGTCCGAACTCTCTGGTCCAAACTCCTGGTCCCAACTCCTGGTCCCAACTCTCTGGCCCCAGCTCCAGGCCCCAACTCCTGGTCTCAACTTCATGGTCCCAACTCTCTGGTCCCAACTCTCCGGTCCCAACCCCTGGCCCCAGGTTGGCAACTCCTGGTCCCAACTCTCCGGTCCCAACTCCCCGGCCCCAACTCTCTGGTCCCAACTCCTGGTCCCACGTTGGCAACTCCTGGCCCCAACTCTCCGGACCCAACTCCTGGCCCCCAATCCTCAGGTCCCAACTCCTAGTCCCAACTCCTGATCTCAAGTTGGCAACGCATGGTCCCAACTCTGGTCCCAACTCCTTGGTCCCAACTCCTGCTCCCAACTCTCTGGTCCAAACTCTGGTCCCAACTCCTGGCCCCAACTCCTGGTCCCAACTGGCTGGCCCCAACTTCTGGTCCCAACTGGTCCCAACTCCAGTCCCAACTCCTGGTCCCAACTCTCCAGTCCCAACTGCCTGGTCCCAACTCTCTGGTCCCAACTCTCCAGCCCCAACTGCCTGGTCCCAACTGCCTGGTCCTGGTCCCAACTCAGGTCCCAACTCTCTGGTCCCAACTCCTGATCCCGACTGCCTGGTCCTGGTCCCAACTCTGGTCCCAACTCTCTGGGCCCAACTCTCCGGTCCAAACTGCCTGGTCCTGGTCCCAACTCTGGTCCCAACTCTCTGGTCCCAACTGCCTGGTCCCAACTCCTGGTCCCAACTCTCTGGTCCCAACTCCTGGCCCCAACTGCCTGGCCCCAACTCTGGCCCCAACTCTCTGGTCCCAACTCTCCAGCCCCAACTGCCTGGTCCTGGTCCCAACTCTGGTCCCAACTCTCTGGTCCCACCTGCCTGGCCCCAACTCCTGGTCCCAACTCTCTGGTCCCAACTCCGGGTCCCAACTCCTGGCCCCAACTCTCTGGCCCCAACTCCTGGCCCCAACTCTGGCCCCAACTGCCTGGTTCCAACTCTGGTCCCAACTCCTGGTCGCAACTGCCTGGTCCTGGTCCCAACTCTGGTCCCAACTCTCTGGTCCCAACTCCTGATTCCTAGAGATTCCGAGGGATTCCTGGACATTCCCATCGATTCCTAGAGATGCCTAGATACTCCGAAATATTCCTAGAGCTTCCTAAAGATTCCTAGAGATTCCTACGAGATTCCCAGAGATCCCCAAAAATTCCCAGAGATTCCGAATGATTCCTAGAGATTCCCAGGAGATTCCTAAAGATTCTTAAAGATTCCTATAGATTTCCAAAGATTCCCAGAGATTCCTAAAGATTCCTAGAGATTCCTAAAGATTCCTAGAGATTCCCAAGAGATTTCCAAAGATCTCTAGAGATTTCTAAAGATTCCTATAGATTCCGAGCGACTCCCAGAGATTCCCCGAGATTCCTATAGATTTCATTCCTATAGATTCCTCTGGATTCCCAGAGATTCCTAAAACTTACCAAGGAGATTCCTAAAGATCCCCAGAGATTCCCAAAGATTCCTAGAGATTCCTAGAAGTTGCTAAAGATTCCTATGAGATCCCAAGAGATTCCCAGAGATCCCCAGAAATTCCAAGAGATTCCTAGAGATTCCTAGAGATTCCGAGAGACTCCCAGGAATTCCCAGAGATTCCTCGATATGCATAGAAATTCCGAAAGAATCCCAGAGATTGCTAAAGATTCTCAGAGATTCCTAAATAAGACTCCTAAAAAGATCCCTAGAGATTCC